CTGAAGATGATTGGAGCATACCTGTTTCTGAAGCAAGGGGATTCAAAGAAATGGCTAAAGAATTCCACGAACTCAATCCTTCGGAACCCAAGCCTGGTGACACAGTTTCACGACTAAATGTAAACTCATCTCACAGGAGCTCGAAGAAGTTAATGTGACGGCTTGTGAGCCGATAAGTCCTGTAGCCTTCGATGGCTATCGAAGGCAACCTATATTCTCTATCACTCCGAGGATTATCAGCAGACGAAAACTGATACGAGATCGCCACTGAGGCTACGTAAAGGATAGTGCCAAGAGTATCGGAAGCGTTACCCGTGTGGCAGAACAAACCTTTAGTCAGTTTCATTGCCACTATAAGTGTAGGCTAGATTTAGATACCTCTGGATGTGTATAAGTAGCAGAGTAGACTTGCAGGTAGTTTGCTTCTACATAGATGAATTATAGCTTTACCTTTCAATCATACAAATGCCCATTCGCTTTCTATATTTGAACTGTGACAGTTAAGGAGGGGGTAATGTCACAGACCAGTTTGTGATATTGTATTGCACCTGGCCAACCGCCCCATGAATACACTCAGGAATAGGGTTAGTGCGTTGCAATGGTTACAGTGTTGTGATAGCAACAGTCACTAGTCAAGATACTGATCAGTTGCTATGTAACAGCTGTGGGCTATTGCACCCTTGATTGTAGTGACCGGTCTCAGGTACTTAAGGAAGCTCTTAGGATGTATTTGTACTGTAGCTTTTTGTCTTGTATTTTATCTACATCTTAGAATCTCGCCTCTGTCCTAGTTTCTGTCCTCGTCTACATCTCGTCCTCGTCTACATCTCGTCCTCGTCTACATCTCGTCCTCATCTCAGTCTCCGCCCCAATCCCTCTCCTTATAAGTCTCCTGTCCTCCGACCCCTGACAAATATAATTGACCCAAAAGGTTGACAAAACCTATTCCAAGATACAGTTCATTTATAAATCATGGTCCCGAGATACGCTCGAGGGAACATCATGACTTGGAACACAGACAGCTGGTTTATGTAGAAAATGTTCAGGACGAAATAGAGTATAATGCTGTAGCTCTTGCAGCAAAAACTGCACTGGAAACAAATGAGGGACCAACAACAATCGAGGAGGCACTCGAAAGGCTAGATGCAAGCCACTGGCGTGAAGCAATAGATGAAGAAATAAATTCCTTAAACCGAAACCATACCTGGGACGAAACTTTCCGGCCTCCACTGTAAGGGCTAGAAGTAGAATTGTATCCGAATTGTACTGTGTGCTGTGTAAATAAGATCTTAAACTAAAGAAAGAAGATGGAAGAGGAAAAGTCTCCCTTATATACATTGAAAGGTGGTCTGTGCTGTTACCAGACTATACCAAAATAGAGCAACTAAATAGTCACCTGATTGGTATCAGCTCAGATCAGTCACCCAAGCCCAAGCCTTGGCTGCCTTAGGCTCTAGCCTATGACATTACCCTCTCTGTCCCATTTCTTAGCTTTTGCTCTAGCTTTGTAAGCATCCAATGCACAGGTCTCTTGAAAATCATGTTGTGGGTGCCATGATGGTTTGGCATAACCTGCCCACTTGTTGTGTTATCCATGTAACTTACCATGGTACATGCTTTAGGTCGCGTCATAGCATATGCACGTGACTGTGGAACTAAACCGTAGGGTGTTTAGTGTGTAATGCATGTGTGATGCATGTGTGAGTATACTGGACCAAACTAGAACTAGATGGAATAGAGATAACAGAATCAGCGAGAGACTGATGGACTGAGAGAGAACGAGCTGGTCATTTCTCGTAGGAGAGAAATGATATCATAAGGGAATGTTCTAGCACTAGGCTGTGAACAACACAGTAAGTCTGGAGCAAGATATAAGGAGGTCTCAACCTCCGTCCATTCATTTTGTAACTAAGTTTCCTTTATACGAGAATATAGAGTCAAGTCTTACATATCACGAGAACACACGCAACAGCGACTATAGAGACCTACTGTGAGCATAACTTCCCCAAGAGTATCCATCGTCCTGCTCCCATATAGCCTAGTTAATATAACACCACTTTACAAGCACCTCTTTCCTACTGCCCCTTCCAATCTTTCTATTCCTTGAGTCTAGAATCTCATCAACTCCAAATTCTACATCACCAGTACTTGTTAATATTCCTGGAGGTTGAGAATCATCTGACTTCTGTGAAGGAAGAGGATCATCATGGGCTGGTCTTAAGAGTGATGTGTGGAACTTATTATGAATACCTTTAGGAGTATCTAATTCATAAAAGTGAGCTGAGTCCGGAAATGTTCTAGTTATTTTGTACTTGGCATGTATCCAGTCAAGTTTCTTGGAGGGTCTCTCAGTGTTTATATTCTTTAAATTTAACCAGACCAGATCTCCAAGCTTATAAGTAGGTGCAGTATCTCTAGAATTATTGGCATATTTTTCTTGAGACTGCTGGGCAACTGCCATTGATGTCTGTGCGAACTGATGCGCCTCTGAGAGCTTCTCAATAACATCCTGACCTCTTGAAGCTGGTGTTCCTAGAGAAGAGGGATTATGATCTGATACTAAAGATATAGAGATTGCATCATATCCATGGGTCATAAAAAACGGACTTATCTGAGTTGTGGTAGCTATTTTGTTATTGATAGATACCTGTGCTAGTGGGATCCAATCTTTCCAGTCTGACTGTTCATAAGCAATGAATGTTCTCAGGTAAGTTTCTACCTCTTGATTAGCTCTCTCTGTTGAGCCGTCAGTTTCTGGATGATAGGCTGTTGATAGCCTCTGGTTGATCTTAAGTCTAAGAAATATAGTGTTCCAGAATGCATTAACAAATTGAGGTCCTCTATCAGAAACAATTGCCCGAGGAATCCAATGGTGAGGCAAGTAGTACTGAAAAAATAATTTAGCCAGTCCCTCTGCATCAAACATATCTGGGGGAACTGGTATTAGGATTAACCCTTTGCTTAATCTATCTGTAATGACCAAAAGAATAGTTGTCTTCTCAGGACCAGAGGGAGGAAGGCCTGTAATGAAATCCATAGATATTTCCTGCCATATCTGTGATGGAATGGGTAATGGTCTGAGCAAACCTTTTTTCTTGTCTCTCCAAATAGTGGTTCTGCCACAAACATCACAATTTCTTACAAACCTCCTTACTTCCTGGTTTGATCCTGGCCAAAAAACTTCCTTGACACTAATGAAATTGTAGCATCTCTTCCTGGATGACCCGAGAGGAAAGAATCATGAATCTTTTGTTAAAGTTATGAGCTTGAGCGAAGATGGAGGTTGTAGCGGAATCAGTGTTGGCGGTTAGACCAATGCAGTAAGTCTCGTATGAGGTTGTGAGAGGAAGATCCGAGTGAAAACAATTGTATTTAGATGTATGGTTCAGAGTAAAACCGAGATGATAAGAGTGAGATTGCGTGTTCGCATATCTTATCAACTGTGGTTTTTGACCAGTATTTATCAATCTCCATGGATCGTAAGTTATGATCCATGTAGATGTAGATCTATGTACATACACATATATGGGTCAGGAATATAAAGCTAAATACATGTGTGTCGGTAATAGATACGAGAAAACTATAACCTGCATTTGAGACATAGTCATCCACTGGAATGCTAGTGTGAAATAAACGCTAATGCGCATTAAACTTTCGGTGAATGATGTATTGATAACAGTGATATAGAATGGGGAATTTGATAGTCAAATTAGCCGGACTTACTAATAAGTTATTCTTGGCATTCCAAGATATATCATATTTCAACATCTTTTGTATAACAGCTGTAGTCAAGGGCTCAAAGTTGGGTAGCCAAATTCTCTCCCTATAATACAGAATATTTTCGTTAGATATTGCACATTCCCCTGTAGAAATCCTTAGCTCGAGGTCAGAAAGAAAAAGTCTATCTAGATTTTTAACTGAGTTGAATGCTCTGGTGTATCTTTCAATAGGCTCTCCTGATTTTAAGGCTTGATTCCACAAACTGCAAAGGTCTGCATCATCTTGAAATGGGCAAGGTAAGTTAGTAGTGACCATAGACTTAATCCAAAGTTGAGGTGCTAGAAGGATGTTTTCCCTAGCAGCAATCCTAGAATCTGAAGCATCCTTTGGTATATCTTGCTCTCTTCTAGATAGTGCGTCAGGTACAACGCTTGCCTTCCCTGGTCTATGCTTTAGTTTGAAGTTTAGAGGAGCATGTACTTCCATCCACCTAATTTGTCTTTCATTTAATACCTTCTTTCTTTCAAATGGCTCCAGGTTTTTATGGTCTGTAAGAATGGTAAAGGGCTTCTTTAGCCCTCTAAGCTCGCTATTCCATTCCTTGATGCATTTTATGATGGCTAAGAGCTCCTTGTCATGAATATCATAATTGCACTCTGCTGGGAGATGTTTTGCTGAATAAAATGCAACTGGTCTCCATAGTTTTGATACTGGATCAAGTTGTGTTAAGGTACCACCAATAGCCCATCCTGATGGGTCGGGCTCCAATTGTGTCTCTAGATCTGGATTAAAAGTAGCTAGAACTGGTTCTTCCTTGAAAAGATTCTTGATATGTTGAAAGGAGTCCTCGCAATCTTTTGTCCATTCAAACTTTTGATCCTTCCTGGTTAGATTTGTCAAAGGTCTGACAAGCTTTGCAAAGTCTGTGGAAACTCGAGGGACAAAAGACGATTGGCGAGTGGTCAAAAGCTGGTGTGGACTCAAATCATAAGATTCTAAACTAAAGAGAAAAGTACCTAGGAGGATATGAATCTGTATATATTTACATAGGAGTTCAACTGTTGAAATAGAGTTGCCAACACGAAACCTCCTGTCCCTCATTGCCTGCAACCCAAGGGTTTTGCATGAAAACCAATATCCATGACAAACCTTTCGTATCGTGATTTGTCACACACAAGACTCGTGTGTGTGAAACTAGTCTTTGGAATTCCTGGATTGACCCTGTGTCGGCTTACCAACTATTGAACCAACAGCCACGTGGCCACTGAAATGTCGGGGCGTCACAGCCGCTTGATTGTTGAGCAGGATAGCCGTATTCTGTCCATCAATGGTCCCGTAGCTGGTGTTGAGCTGTTCAATCTTGTCTTCTGACCACTTGTTGAACATGTCAATAAGGTTACTTTCACCGTCATTTTGGTTCGCCTCGTAACCTTCATAGTCGATGATGAATATACCCAGGGTATTGTTGTCGTTCGGGAGTTCGTTCTCCGCCATGTACGTCCGCCAGCTCTTGATCCGTCCCTGACGTTCGCTTGGTGTGTGCCGAGTGGACCAGCATCCAGCCTTTTTACACACGAAGCAGATCTTTTGGCGGTTGTATTGCTGCCGAATCCACCATGAAATCCACCTCCCCTAAAACTTCCTCGGCCACCTCTTCCTTGAAATCTCCCTCTATTGTGGCCTCCTCTTTCTCTGTACCTGCGGTCGACAAAGTACTGTCCATTGTTGTCTTCTTCTTCATTGTTGTATTCTGCTTCCTGATGAAATTGCCCTGTATTCTGTGGTGCACAGTCCATATGGATCTTGACAGTAGATCGTAGCTCAGCGCAGGCATTCTCGAATCCGTCGTGGAGGTGGATGAGTGCTTGTGCGCAGGCTGATACGCCTTAAAATGTAGCGTACAGCTGTCCGGCGAGGCTGTGGCTTTTGTGACCATAGTTACATCTGAGAGCTTCGTAGATCTTTTGGAGCTTTTCGATAACCAGGTCAAGACATTGAAGGGTGTTCTTTTCGGGATTGTCCCTAATAACCTTGAGAAGGGTGAGAGCTCGCCATTCTGTCAGGTAATTCTGCTCTTCTGTCTTTGTGTGAATTATTTCCTTCGTTTTGTGGACTATGTCATCGAAAGTCAGGTCGTTAAGGTGCTCAGCAAGGTGCCTGAAGTAGTACTCATGTGTGGCGTCTCGTAGCATCGTCGAGGACGCATTCTTAAACTGATTTTCGCCAACCCCGGCAATTCGGCGCTTTTCTAAGAAAATTCTCAGCTTATTTTCGAGCACCTCATAATGCTTGGCTCCAAACTTGTCCTGAGGGTTGACATACAACTTGCCGAGATCCGTCAGCGCTCTCGAAATACTGGTACCTTCAGTAATTGTTCCTTTTGCCCAATCCGGGATGTATGTCTTCCCAGAGTCATTGTCCGAATCGGCCCCCTTGCAGCCTCTTTTCTTTTCTTTTTCTTTCCCTTAGGTTCCTTCTTCCTGATGCTGTCGCTCTCGTTATCAGAATCGTCGCTGCTATAGCCTTGATCCGCGATATAATTGATATTTTTATCTCTTTCACCTTTGAGCAGGATATTTTTGCCCTTGTCAGCCTTATTGCATTTCAGGTTCGTAAATCCACTCTTATCGTGGTCGCCATTGTCTGTCTCACTAGCTACACTCTGTATGCCTCTGTTGAAGACGAGTGACTGGAATTCCACGCTGTATCCAATTATCTGGTCGAGTTCGCGCTTTGACCACTTAGGCAAGTCGTCGACATCATCATCGAGCAATGCTGCCAGCTGCTGCGCGATGGTTGCCCGTTTGTCGTTCTCACATCCTACGTATATGCCTCTGAACATAGGGAATATCTTAAGCCTTCTGAGGATGGGTTGATAGACCATGGCAAATGTGTCAGGAGCCCATTTGGCAAAGTCCTCTCGGAACATCTCAAGGAGTATGTAATCGATGTAGCCTTGATTGTAATTGTCAATTCATGAGATTATGGTCAAGTTCAATTCGGTAATATTGTCTCTCTAAATATCCTTTCCTCCTATATCCTTTTTCGTATTGTGCGGCTTTACCAAGTCGGCCTGAGGAAGTCCTACAAACTCTGGTACCTTAGTATGGCTCATCTTGTCGATCCTGGCGGGGTCTTGAACGCCGGGAAGGCAGTGACATCAACTTGTGATACGGTGCCACGATCTTCGCACTACCGGAACCCAACTTGTGGGGCGGGCAGTTGCTTCCTATCACGACCTGGTCGAAATTGCCGATGGGATCGTCTTCCTATGAAGTACCTAGCTGTCTGTGCTTGCTGTCAAGTCAAGCACTGATCAGTGTTGGTATGACAGGGTCAATCTCTGTGATATCACAGGTAATGAGAATGGGGTTTGCTAATGCAAAATTGGTGACTGACTGAGATGTATATGTATATGGATCTCTATCTGTGGACATCCCTGAAGCGTTGATAAAACCTGAGTCCACTTGTGAGCCTAAGGCATGAATCTAAACCTCAGGCCTACCAGAGCAAGTGCTCCAACATTAAGAATCCCAAGAATTTTTGCAACTCTTTCACTGTTTGCGGCTCTTCCCACTCTAAGATTGCCTTAACTTTGTCAGGATCCATACTAAGTCCATTTGTGGAGATTATTAAGCCAATGTACTTAGTTTTTTTTGGGAAAAATTCCGATTTTGCTATATCCAGTTGCAGCCCTGCATCACCAAGACAATGTATCACCTCATTGACATGTTTTTCGTGATCTTCTCTATTATCTGAATATATTAAAACGTCATCCAAGTAGGCAGTACAGTATTTATCGAGTGCATAATACAGAATATGATTCATGTGGTTCTGGAAAGTTGCGGGAGCGTTACAAAGACCAAATGGTGTGACAATTATTTCGTATAGTCCAGATCGTGTTATAAATACCGTCATCCACTCATGTCATTCAGGGATACGAATTCAATTAAATGCAGATATCACGTCTAATTTTTTAAAAAGTTTTGCATTTGAGATTGAATCCAAAGTTTCGCGGATCAAAGGAAGTGGATATCGATTTTTAATAGTAATATTATTCAGACCACGATAATCTTGGCAGATACGTACACCCCCGGCTGGTTTAGCGGTGAGAAGGAGTGGTGCGACAGCTGGGGAGGAAGATTCTCGTATGAAGCCTTTAGCTAAGATTTCGTCAATCCATTTTTTGAAACATTGTAGCTCAGTTGGAGAAAATGGTCTGTTCTTATAGTAAGGAACCTGTTTTCCAGGTAGAAGCTCGATTTGTAGTCCCAAGGGTGATGCGGTGGCAGAGAGTTTGCATTCTTTGGTAGAAAATATTCGGCATGATGATGGAATTCTGATGGCAGTTTAGAATTCATAACATCAATACTCAACTTGTATTTTTTTCGAGGAATTTATCAAATTCTGATTGATGATCTTTTCGACATAATGATTCCAGGTTTTTAGGGTTATTTTTGACAACTGAGGCTTTAAATTCATCATTGGAGTAAACAGTTGACGAATTGTTAAGCATTTTACTATGGCTACCTTCCATATTGGTTTTGAGTGGTTTATGTGTAGCTGGGTTGGATGATGTTGTGGTAAGCAATACGGAAGGCAATGCACTCGCGTATGAAAGCTGTTGGTGAGGATTTGATTGTGAGTGTATCTGCTTGAGGCAACTGTGGTGACAATACTGAGAATCAAATTTGAGTGTTTAAGATTTCTAATCACATACAGGGTTATGTAATTTTAACCATGGTAAACCAAGGAAAATTGGATTATTTTTCCTTAGTGTTGTGACAAAAAAAACTAGAATCTCTGAGTGATGGCCAATTTGTAAACGGAAAGTAAAATATTGGTTTATGAAAGCTTGTGTTGTGCCATCGGCTAAGCGAACAATACATGGAGTGAAGAGGGGCTTGGTTTTAATCCCAAACTGCTTCACAATAGAATCGTAATCTGCAAGTGCCATGGCAGTGGAGCCACTATCAATTAAACTAGTTGTGCAAAACATCACTGGATTTTGGTTGCGCGGGTCAGAAAGAGAAGAGTCAAGTAACATTAAATTCCTAGAACTTGTAGAGCATAGCTCCAAAGTAGAACTATCTTGCAAAATACGTTGGACAGCCTCATCTTCATCCTGATACCAATTATACCCCTGGCAGCGACTTATGCCAAGGGTTGATCTTTTAATTCGTCGAATTGTTCAGATGTTGATGGATAAACATCGGAAATTCCAGTTTTTGTGTCATTTCCGGAAGTATGGTCATCATAGATTGCGCGAAGATTAGTCTGAGTTGGAGTCTTGAAGTACTGAGTGTTAGAATTATGGAGATATGGAGGATTAAATGGCGGGGGAACTTGTTTACTAAAATACTGCATATGGGGTAGTAACTTGCAGAAAATGGTGCAGGTTGGTGATATTTTGACTAATTTTTTACCTGCCTAGAGAAATTTCGATTGGAGGAGAAGCTTCATGGGCGCTTGGGCATAGGAATAGGGTTAATTTTACGGTGATGATGTTTTGCTGTATGCCCCTTTTCCCCACAAGCAACACATAGACCACTATCCATACGGAATTTTCGTTCTGTACCTGACAATTTGATCCGGCTTAAATTCATTGGGTCTCCAATATTGGATGGTCCCCAGTCAGATGATAATTTGTTGGCAATAGGATCATTCTGATTTGCTGAGCTTTGAGGTGATTATAACCTAAAAATATGCTCCTGTTGTTAAAGGTTACGAGCAATACAGCCTACCATATCACTCCAGCCTAAAAAGTCGTCTGGTCCAGGAAGATTAAATTGATTATCAATTACATTTCTAATTTTTAGATTTAGCTGTTTCCTTAGCATATCCACCTTAGTCCGTTTATCATATTTAGCCCTTTCAGCATAATGGTCAAAGTCCGCCTTGAAATCTGTGTATTGACGCTTTTCATGAAACAGCATATCCAAGGCATTTTTAGCTGTCTGGGAGGTGTCGAGGAGTTTGTAACGCTTATCTAGAATATGCCATAAATCCCCAATAGATGTCCATGGCCAGTTCTCAGGTTCACTTGGGTGTAAATTCATTGCCTGGATTCCATCTTTTACTGCCTCCCAGGCTTTCCCGGACAGTTGTCTTTTCACATAAGATATTCGATAAAAAGAACCGGGGAAACAATCTTTATCTATCAATAAAATTTTCTGAATGTGTGTTTTCCAACTTTCGTAAGCTAACTATCACTTCTCTGTACTTTGCTGTAATGCAGAGAACTTATCTGGATCAGATCTGGCTCTACGGAGTCTAGCATCTACGGAATCGGAGATTTTGGTGGCTTTAATTTCGCATTATCTTGAGCACGTTGTATATTTCTCTAATCTTTAAGTGCAGATATTTTATCATTTAATTCTACAATCTTGTTGTTATCTGCAGAGCAATAAAAATTGGCTTTTGATAGTTCTGAGTTGAGAGATGCAACTTGTTATAAACTTGCATTTAACTGCTGGGAGTAAGACTGCTCCAAATTTAGAATTTGTCGGTGGGCATTTGCTAGATTTGAATTTAGCTCAGTAACTTGCTGTTGCGTCTTGATGAGAGCTGATTCAGTTTCCGTGAGCTTAAAATTACTCGACTTTTATTGTTCTTGTAAGTCACCAAACTTTGAATTGAAGCATTGAAGTAAACTGCAGAAAATTTTCTTCTCGGGGGACTTGGTAGTAGATGCAATGGTTGTTAGTAAATCAGTGGGATTCGAATCTTCTGGGAAGTGATGACCTTCAATAGCAGCGCTCAAATTCGGCCAACTCTGCTGGAAAGCAGTAGTAATTTGAGTGACTCTGGGGTTGGTAGTCATGGTGAATTTATACAGTATCTTTACTTTGATGAGAATGTATATATAGATAAAACCAAAAAAAATAAAAAATCAGATTGTAACAGCAGATGTCTTTAGGTTATATGCCAGGTCGCAGACAGGGTTCAGGAGTATGATTTTGCTTTTAGTATTGGATCTAAATGCGACGGGGCACAATTTAAGATCGCACAAAGTGTCACAGTGGGTTATGGATCAGGTTCTGATGGCTTAATAATATAACTGCATTGTGCGATAGTAAGGGAAGATTTTCTACAGGAGGGATCTGTACTAATATCCTAGTGTACGGCGCTAGCTCTTAGTCCCGTGACCATTACAATCGGAGTAACGCCATTATCGGTATTTGAGGCGAGGTGGTGTAGTAAGACTGAGGTGGAGGACTCGCGTGAGAATGATGGACCCGGCATTGACGAGAAGTCGTCGATTTTAGATGTGCTTGTGAGTGCTTTCGACTTCGTTTTGGATGCAATTCTTCTTGACTATCCCAGATATGCAGAGCATACTGAGCGATTATACTGGCACCACTGGGAGGTGAAGAATTCGCTTTGGCATGGGAGATTGCGTTCTGAACACTTTTAGCAGAAGCGCTTACGAGGGAGCTGCTCTCGAATGGGTTGTCGTAGTCGAGGGTAACGGCTGAACTACAGATTCTGGGGTTGTTTCCGGGATCGTCCAGGTCCATCATTCTAACCTGTGTTTGAGTGTACAGTAAGACCCCTGTTAAGACAATGCAATCGGGGCCGTGAAAAATATCTTCATGTACCCTGGTGTTACGGTGTCAAGTTTGCAGTGGGGCTTCAGCAGGGGTTTTAGCGTGTAATTTAACACGCCTTAGGCATAGTCATCTTCCATATTGGAGTTAGGCCCCGTATTTGTGCAAATTTTCGAAAAAAAGTTGTATGGCAGTTTTTATCTGGACACTGTGCGTTCGTGTGTAGGGGTTGCGAAGTGGCTTACGGTGACTTGGAACTCAAAGCACGCCTATAATAAGTATCACGGGATGCCTGTAGAGTTCATTAAGTCAGATGTAAGTTGTTCTTTAATCATCGCCTCCCAAACTCCTACATAGACTACAAAATGCTAAGCTAGGC